TGAGAGATGGAGTGGAGATGGAGTGAGAGATGAAGTGAGAGATGGAGTGGGAGATGGAGTGAGAGTGAGAGTGAGAGATGGAGTGGGAGATGGAGTGAGAGATGGAGTGAGAGATGGAGTGGGAGATGGAGTGAGAGATGGAGTGAGAGATGGAGTGGGAGATGGAGTGAGAGATTGAGTGAGAGATGGACTATTATGCAGGAGTGAGAGATGGAGTAGGAGATGGAGTGAGATATGGAGTGAGAGATAGAGTGAGAGATGGAGTGAGAGATGGAGTGGAGATGGAGTGAGAGATGAAGTGAGAGATGGAGTGGGAGATGGAGTGAGAGATGGAGTGAGAGATGGAGTGAGAGATGGAGTGAGAGATGAAGTGAGCGATTGAGTGAGAGATGGAGTGAGAGATGGAGTGGGAGATGGAGTGAGAGATTGAGTGAGAGATGGAGTGAGAGATGGAGTGGAGATGGAGTGAGAGATGAAGTGAGAGATGGAGTGGGAGATGGAGTGAGAGTGAGAGTGAGAGATGGAGTGGGAGATGGAGTGAGAGATGGAGTGAGAGATGGAGTGGGAGATGGAGTGAGAGATGGAGTGAGAGATGGAGTGGGAGATGGAGTGAGAGATTGAGTGAGAGATGGACTATTATGCAGGAGTGAGAGATGGAGTAGGAGATGGAGTGAGATATGGAGTGAGAGATAGAGTGAGAGATGGAGTGAGAGATGGAGTGGAGATGGAGTGAGAGATGAAGTGAGAGATGGAGTGGGAGATGGAGTGAGAGATGGAGTGAGAGATGGAGTGGGAGATGGAGTGAGAGATTGAGTGAGAGATGGACTATTATGCAGGAGTGAGAGATGGAGTAGGAGATGGAGTGAGATATGGAGTGAGAGTTAGAGTGAGAGATGGACTATTATGCAGGAGTGAGAGATGGAGTAGGAGATGGAGTGAGAGATGGAGTGAGAGATGGAGTGAGAGATTGAGTGAGAGATGGAGTAAGAGATGGAGTGAGAGATGGAGTGGGAGATGGAGTGAGATATGGAGTGGGAGATGGAGTGAGAGATGGAGTGAGAGATTAAGTGAGAGATGGAGTGAGAGATGGAGTGGGAGATGGAGTGAGAGATTGAGAGATGGAGTGAGAGATGGAGTGAGAGATGGAGTGAGAGATGGAGTGAGATATGGAGTGGGAGATGGAGTGAGAGATGGAGTGAGAGATTAAGTGAGAGATGGAGTGAGAGATGGAGTGGGAGATGGAGTGAGAGATTGAGTGAGAGATGGAGTGGGAGATGGAGTGAGAGATGGAGTGAGAGATTGAGTGAGAGATTGAGTGAGAGATGGAGTGAGAGATGGAGTGAGAGATTAAGTGAGAGATGGAGTGAGAGATGGAGTGAGAGATTAAGTGAGAGATGGAGTGGGAGATGGAGTGAGAGATGGAGTGAGATATGGAGTGAGAGATGGACTATTATGCAGGAGTGAGGGATGTATTATGGCATCAGAAGACCGCAAGGGATGGCAGCAATGTGGGGAATCCTTCGCACAGCAGTGGATAGATCATGACGACGAAGAGCTAATAATCCCTCTGTCTGGATGTTGGGGTGACGGAGGTCCAATTGGAGAGACCCCATGAGGAGCTATGCGGTGACATTTACATTGCACTATATCAGCAATGCATTGGGAAGATCGTACGTCTTAACTGAAGCATCCTGTTAAAACGGGATCAGTCGTATCCTCTCCATTAATAATGTAAGTGAATTAACAGAGACTTTAAATGTAAATAACTTGACTGTGTATTGATATAATAGTATTATTGTCAATGCAGCTCAAGGCCCAGGTGCATTATCATCAATGTGCTGTCGTATGATTCCATACATCGTGTGGCCTCTACCGTGCACGTTGTTGAGAGACTTAGATTATTCTCTTGAGGAATTGTCACGATGCAGGTCGCAATTTGCTTAAATAATCGCTCGTACGGTCCTTAGTACCGTTCTCCATTTCTGTGTCTCATTTGCAGTTTTGCGCATACGTTACGCATGAATGTAACGTTACGCATGAATGTAACGTTACGCATGAATGTAACGTTACGCATGAATGTAACGTTACGCATGAATGTAACGTTACGCATGAATGTAACGTAAAACATGCACATGTTTGTTTAGGTGTAATGTAATAGCAAATGAGCCAACATTGTAATGTACTTACATGGCGTGCACGTCTATGCTTTCACCAACCCGCACTGACCAGCGTGGTGAAGTATGGTCAAATAACCCCCACGACCTACAACAGTGTACGGAGGCCCTCATCCAGCAGTGGATTGCCAAAGGGCTGTAGAGTGCACGCACACACACAAGGCTGTACAGTGCCACGCATTGAGAATTTTGGCCTCTTATTAAATGCATTTGTTTACAACTAAACTAATTCATAAATAATTATGTATGACACTGATGATTCTATGCATTGCATCGTGCGCCTATAAATAATAATAAAGTAATACCCCGGTTTACATCGAAACGTAAATCGAAGCGATTTACAGGGTAGGTGGTGGTGGAGGTGAAGGCTGAAGCGGTGGATAACGAGAAAGGATGGACGATGATGCGGTCAGCATAGCTGTGAACCTACACGAGTTTACCTTTTTGTACAGGGACATTGAGTAAAGAAATATATTTTTGCAAGTGTTTTTGTCTTTCTGCCTTATGATGGGACTTTGTAGGATGAACGTTGAGATTTATAAAGGGCACGGGGTGACCAATACGGTCTGAATTGGTCTGTAATAAGGTAGGGCACTGATGAGGGGTTGACAGCGATGGGTCAGCGACGTGAGTGTGGGGTTGAGGCGACGCAAATCGGGTAGCGGTGGTAATAACAAAGTGACGACGTGCTATTAAAGTGACGGCGTAAATGAGGAACGATGTAAAAGGGTGGAGACAAATTGAGATCTGACTCGAATCGATTTCACCACCGCAATGCCTGGAATTGTCCCCCCCCACCCCCCCCCCCGAATGAGTTACACCGATTAACAGCAGGCTGCACTGCCGCCTTGTGGTAGAGCCTTGGCATAGCACAGTTAACAGCAGGCTGCACTGCCGCCTTGTGGTAGGGCCTTGGCATAGCACAGTTAACAGCAGACTGCACTGCCGCCTTGTGGTAAGGCCTTGGCATAGCACAGTTAACAGCAGGCTGCACTGCCGCCTTGTGGTAGGGCCTTGATCATCCTGCTGCAATGCAACTGTTGCACGAAGAGTCGCAAATATGAATGCTCTTTTAGATTTGACCCCACAGGCCGCATCCGTTATTTGACTGACCACGGTCCCGAGACGAGTGTTAATTTTGCGTGAGAAAAAAACGTGATTAATGTGTTCGTAACCACAGTGGTTGATTTATTTCAGTCAATGAAAATCATCGAGCGTGCCAATTGACGATGGCGAGATGAGATTAACGCGTTGGAACGAAGACGCAGACTGAGATTATTTATAAGAATAGGTTTAACCCTTTCTGGCAAATAAACCAGTTGTGTTAAGATGTTAGAACACCAAACTGAAACCTTTTGCAAGGAATCCTGTCTGCACAACCAGCGCATTTTTTTGTTTGTTTGCATGTTCACCACAAGTATACGTGTGGTGAATGCAGACATGATTCCTTGCGAAAGGTTTCAGTTTGGTGTTTTAACATCTTAACACAACTGTTTAATTGCCAGAAAAGGTAAAAAAATGATTATATATTGATACTGGCAAGGGAGGTTCCATGACGAGATTATTTAGTGAATGTTTGGCCGTTCTAGTCGACGAGACTAAAAGAATAACGGGATGAACCCCGCAGGCCACGACTCGACTTCGACTGGACAGGCTGCGTCATCCATTCCACTTAAGACTGTCACCAAAATAAATGAAGACGCTGACTACGTGAACGCGACTTACTAAGGCAATTGAGCAGCATGGGTCAAGCTACACTGAATCGCAAAGGTAGTTTACGAGAGTACAAGTGCACTATTACACTATACACTACATTAAGTTCACGCTGCTGACTGCGGTGAGGGGCATTTTATACAAAAATATTTATCGTAGAAAAGTGTCAAAGCTGCGCCATAAAATGATTATGCACTTTGGGTTACCAGTGACAAGTTGGGGCATCCTTACAAAAAGTTGTAATGCATTTGCTTTGGGTCTTTCGTAGATGTAGATATAAAAATAATAATAAATAATAAAATATCACGACGTTTCGATCGCAACACAAGCAATCGTCATCAGGTGAAAAAATAACGGGCGGCTTGCCATGCTTTTCCATCTCCATGTGGCGATGGCTCTTTCCGAGCTTACATTTTACATTTTACATTACACTAATCTCTCACAATACAATGGCCACCCCCACAGTTTCGTTTCTGAGTTACATTCACTAACGCAGCCACCCTTAGCTGTGTTAGTAAATGAATTCCTGCAGTCACGAAAGCTTTAAGTCAAGATTTGTAATGCATTGTTTGACACGCGCCTGTGATTGCACGTGGAGGTGACTGCAGCGCACGCACGCTGAGAGTGCTTCCAGGGTGATGCAGCGAGTCCTCCTGATTTATGATTGGTCACAATTTTCCTACCGTTGAGCCACAACAAAAAGCCACCTCTTGGTGCGACTCTCAACCCACGTTTTTGTGCTCTTTTAACACATCCCGATTCCCTAAAGCACTGCATGTGGTGGCCAGTGCAGCGAGAGCGACTGCTCCACTGCGCTTTTACCCTTCACGACTCCGCTCTTCACCTTCACGAACTCACGCTCACCAACGAGGTGGTCTGTGGTCAAATAACCCCTATGACCCACAGCTGACCGACAAAAACATGGCCTACAAACTAGACACGCGTGTCAAGACCAAGCAGTAGCCATCGCCCAGAGTCCGATTGAACGACTGCACGTGCAGGTGCGTGCCACAATTTATCGAGCAACGTTTATAACGGGGCCGACCCTGCCCCAAGGGGCCGTGATCTGGTCAAGGCTGACGTCCTGCGGACCGATCCGCCGACGGCACTCACCTGTGTCGAGCTCCTTAGAGGTCACGCTCTCAATGACCTCGGTGTGAATCGCAGGGAGTGACTCCAGCACGCTCTCCGATTGCCGCACAATCTCTTCCCCTTTCCCCGGCGTGTCGGTCCACTGACGATTGTCACCCAAGACGGCCTTTCCGGCCTCCTCCCGAGCGATTCCCTTCGCCGAGGGATCTCCTCCCGTGGGGGATAAGGGCGCGGGGGGCAGCGTGCCGGCGCCGGTCTCGCCATCCCGCTCCTCCCCAGAGGCGTACGACTCCGGATCCGGGGCCACGGCGTCGGCTCGGCTCGATTTCCCGCCCATGGACTCCGTCGTCTTTGTTGCTCCGTCACCGCCATCGCCTTCGCCGGCGTCATCCTCGGTCGCGTCGCCACCTCGCCCGCTGCTGCCGTGCGCCACCGCCGTGGTTTCGTCTTTGGCTGCCGTGACTTCGACAGCGCTGGATTCGCTCGGCAAAAAGTTCTCTTCGGCTAGCTCCGGCGCTGACCCGGCAGCATTGCTGAGCTTGTTGACATCATAACCAGCGGAGGAAGAAGCGGAGGTAGTTGTGTCAGAACTTTCCATCTCTTGCGTCGACGACTGCGCTCCTTCATCTCCGGACGCAGCTTTCGCGACGGCCGCCGCTCGCGAGGGTAACGGCGTGACGTTCGCGGACGGCTCTGTAGGCAAAGACGCGGCCACCGTACTCAGCACACCGCCCCTCTCGCGGCGCGACGCCCAATAAAGCGCGGCCGTTTCTGACGTGCCCGTCAACGCCGGAGAGCCGGACGTGCGCACGGACGGATCGACAGCAGCCACGGCGGCGGCAAGAGTAGCGGAGCCCTCTACTCTAGAAAGCTCGGGGTGATCCGGACTCGTCGCGGCGTTAGAAGCGGTCGCGGGCAGCGTGCTTCCGGAGGGATTTGGGCCAGCGCTCGGGAAGCCCGTGGGCGAGTGCGAAGCGGCAACAGGGTGGTGAGTATGCACAGCGTTTGTCCACGGGAAGCCAGAAGGTTCGGTAGCAGTGAAAGCAGCGGTTTGCACTTTGAAGCTCGGGTCTGGGGTCACACGTGAGACTTGTGACACATCGGGGGAGCCGGTTACAGGCAGGAAAGCGTGCTGCAGTGATGAAGTTGACAACCACAATGAAGGTGGTGATGACGATGATGATGATAATGATGACAACAACGACGATGGTGATGATGATTGTGCTACAGACACGGACGGACCAGACCGAGCTGTCGTAAACTCAGCAGCGAAAGTTCCCGGGGAAGTATCAAAAGCAAGCGACGGCTGCAGGTTTAGGGAACTCGTCTTTAGCTCCACCTTCTCCGAGCTCGCAGGGTGGTACGACGCACTACTGCTTTGCAACGACGGCACATTGACACCGGGTTTGGATGACGCGAGTGTTCTACTTCCCCCGGTGGTCGTAGCACTCCTTCCGAGCTCTGAAGACGGATCCCAAGCTCTGCCATACGTGATGAAAGCCACTGCCGAGCCATGGAGCTCATGAATATACGATAACCCGTCACCCGATTGCAAATCTGTGGCGTGTATATCATTAGCGGCGAAAATTGATTCTTCTGAGTGACGGGACAATCCGCTCAGGCTCTGAGATTGCGGAGTGCTCAAGGGCGTAGAGGTTTGGAATGGGTCATTTACTTTATCCGCACGTTGCGGAATGAAGGACATGGGGTAATGTTCCGAAACAGAGACCACCCGTTTGGGAAATATTTCCAAGGTTCCTGAAAGCGGAGGTGGTAAAGAATGTGTACCTGTTGTCACACCAATCATTTTGCTGTGAGCGCTCCCAAAAGTTGAATCGATGTTGTTTGCGACAGCCGGTTTTCCTGAGGGCGTTTGTGAAGGTGTTGCATCTGGTGGATCATTCCCGGACGGATTGGAGACTTGATTCTCTCGCCTGGGCTCTGAGCCCGTCAGCCCTCGAGATGCCGTCGTGACGAAAGTGCTTTCGTCCCCGCCTGCGCCCGCACCACGCCACCGGCCGGGCTCGTGCGCCGCCGACAAATCCTCCTGCCAAACGGTGGGCGAGCTCGTCGCGCCCTGGGCTCGCGCGGGAGCATCGAGGGGGCCGCCCCCCAAGACGCCGGCCGTGCGCGACGGTGGAGAAACGGCGTCGTGGTTTGGCTGCGGACCGGCGGTGCTCACGGCCTGGACGCTCGGAGGCGGCCCGTTGGCGCCGCCGCGGACGCCTTCGTTTCCCCCAGTCGCCTTGGCGACCGCGGGCGGACGACGAGGCGTGTGCGTGTGGGGCGCCTCGAGGGTGGACGTCTCGCCGGACGTGTCGCTGAAACTCGTCTGCCGCGGTGCGTCGTGGGTAACGGGCACCGGCTCTGCGGCGACGGTGGCTGGCGACGGCGTTGCTTGCGCGACAGTGACTTTCAAATTCTCGCCGAGGGCCGTGGATCCTACGAGCGCCGCGGTCGTGTTACCTGGGTTGGTCGCGCCGTGCGCAGGAGGAGAAGAAGGTGTCGTGGCGAATGCTACTGGGGCTGCGCTGTCATCTGTTGGGCCTTGCAAGGATGAGGCAGCGCGTTCGGTTTGAACGGCAGATGTCGGCGATGGCAAGGAGGTGGCGATGGCGGCGGCGCCAGGGATGGGGTTCAACTTGTGGTTCACGGACGTCGCTTTGACAACAAAATGGACTTCGGGCGTCACGGTTTCTAGGTCTTCCTCTGCAGACGTTTCTATAACCTTTCAGACAGAAAACAAAATAAAATATAACATCGATATTTAAATTTCGATTTAAAGCTTTCGTGACTGCAATGATTCATCTTCTTTGGTTCTTTCGGTAAAGTCACGTAGAATGAGAATAAAATAATAGATTGATAAAATAAAATAACACAATAATTATTTTATTCTCATTCTACGTGACTTTACCGAAAGAACCAAAGAAGATCGATATTTAAGTTGGCAACGTGATCACCTTGTCTGCATGCAGAAAATTACTGCAAGTAGTCCGATGTATTGTTGTCGAAACTAGAATGACCCTTGCTAAATTAGTGGCGCAACAATTTAGTCGGTTCACATTGCAACTTCAGGAGGGATAAACATATTAGTCTGAGATTCATTTCAACGACTTTAATATTACAACACACCAACTTGCACCCTCCATTGAGTGTTTGATGCATGGAGCAGAAAACTAGAGTGCCTGGAGAAAACCCACCGCAAACGAAATAAGAACGACTCAACACCAACAATACATTCCTGGACCATCTCCTACGGCCTACCTCACAGCCCTCACGGCTGGTGTCTCGTCTCACGAAGACGATGTTCTCTGCGCTATCCACCAACTCCGGCGTTGGCTTACAACGTGTGTACGCCACTCACCGCGCCACGTTTGCGAGCGGGTGCTTAACGATGATTCTACCGCATAGGTTTTGGGCGGTTGTGCCGCACGGGCTCTCCGATGAGTTTTCTAGCTGCGCCGTGCGTTAATGATGACCACGGTGGTGATGATGATGGCGATGGCCGCGGCGGGGTACTGCTTCCGCACCTCTCCCACTGTGTTCTGCGACAACTTCTCCGTGGTGTGGCCACGTTCGCTGTAGGTCAGCAGCTCCACGACCCCTTCCACGCCGCTCTCTTGAATGTCTATAGACGCCACGAGAAATGCCAGTGAGACCAATGTAGAAGCACACATGCTGTTAGATCTTAGATTCATGCACAGTTTAGTACTGGTTATAACCATACATATAATTGACATGTAATGGATGGTATATATTGCAACTTCTTACATTCCACTGATCATTTTAAAAATGATTTAATGATTGTTAAACCTGTACAAATTGTGTATTTATTATATTTTACTTCCATGCGCTATATTCTATATCAGCGGCTAATATTTTTTTTGCGACTGGAATTTTGACCAATGTTAATGTTTGAAAAACATGAATATATTTCATAAATCATAAAAACATTAATCTATTTCAAAGCATTCCCGACTTGTAGATCAAATATAATTTAAATCGGCTCAAAGAAACGTTCTTAAACAATAAAAATATGTATATTTAAACAACCCTTTTAGAAGAATAACTATCAACCCACTTAGCTCAATGAATCGACCAATTTTCCCGTAAAAGAGACAATGCAATTCGTGATAGGAGCGACGTTTATTCACGTATCAATCTTGAAAGACTATTACCTTGAGTTTGCTGCGCGGTCGAAAAGTGACCAAGTAAAACACGTGGTCTGTGGCTAGACGTGAAGCAATCCTGCATTCCGGGTCCCAACCCAGCGATAATTGTTCCGTCCAGAGGCAAGGAGGTGATGGAGAATGGTGGCTTCAAGAGGGAGCAATGGAGGATGAACAGCTCCGACCAGTACGCACACACCTCGCCCGCCCGCCCGCTCGCTCGCTCGCTCCTCACGCACGCACGCGCTCTCCACACAGTGCCACGGTGAAGTTAGGGTAAAATGAATGTGTACACAAACACACACGTACTCGCGAACAGTGAGTGCTGTTGGCGAGCACCTATTAAGGCCAGAACGGCCCACGTGCCAGCGGGTGGTGTGGTCGCCACCACGTGCACGCAAAGCCACAGTTATTTCTCCATTTGCCGGTGCCCCTGAGCACACCGCACAAGTTGTTGCCTTTTAGACTCGGTCAACCCAGCGGAGGCCTAACGGTTCAGATAGAAACCAATTGCACATTTTTGTTGCACGTGGTCAGGGATTGAACGCGGGGGGGGGGGGGGGGGGGGGGGGTTTGTGTGTACACGCTCACACGCACGCGTCTACTCGCGCGCACACAGAAACGCCACATGGGTTAATGGATGGAGATGTTAAGGCATCACGCGCACACACGCGCACGCACGCAGGTACAAATGGAGATGAAACCGCTGTGATTGAATATGTAAATTTGCCTTTATTGCTGCTGTTGCTCACTGTTAAAGCAATGAACTGGTTCTGGCTACCAAGGTACAGCGATAAAAGAGATCCTTCACAAGTTTGCACCTAATTTCGTGTTCCTCGACCGCCCGCGAAAGGCCGAAGTCTCTCCGTGCTTAAATCAGTGTGGCAGCCCTCAGTCAGGTGTGGAAATTCCACATTCAAGTGGCGAGGACCAGTCTTTCTATAGGATGAGAAATGCTGACTTCCCACAAAGTGGTACCCATTTTATTGACCCTCGATGTTAGATGGGCCGAGTGGACCCCCCCCCCCCCGAGCCCAGATTTTAATTGACACACCTCCCGACTGTGAGTCCAGCATGCGGCCTTGTTAAAAGAAGAACGGTACATGCAATGAAAGTGTCCACTTTGAAATGTTTTAATCGCCTTGGTAGCACGGGTTTGCTAGCGACACTTAGCCAACAGGAGCTGAAGTATTCGAGAAATAAATATTCAATGGCAGCAACAGATCACAGTGGTTCCCAAAGTTAAACATCCCCGTCCAACAAAAACAATGATGGAACAGTCTTCAGCCAAGTGAGCAAGATGGGCTGGACGTGTCCATGTCTGTTTTGTGGGGGTTATTTAGTTTTGGCCTGCCACTGGCATTTTCAAGAGAAAACACGCGTCATGCATGGAGAATGGATCACATGCAATGCAAATGATAACAGAAATGAAGAAGAAAGCCACCGTTAAAAAACATACGTGTGCAATGTGGTATAGTTCTCATTTGCTCATGAAAATTATAACCCTAAAATGAATTGTTCACGTGTGTTATTGTGGACTTAAATTCATTATTGAATTGCTTGGCAATGTGGGCGCACACACCTGTTGCTATGGTAAAAAAAAATGTTTACTATTTTTTTTTCTCTATCAGAAAATAGTTGTGATAAAGAAAGCCCACTGCATTTTGGGCCCCACATGGCTCAAAGTAGGCTGCTTCCTCCTATAACTACACAGCGCACGGCAACAGTGGCTCATGTGGCCGCACATTGCTGATGAGGCTCAATTGAGTAGAAACCATTCTACAGATAAAAGTGGGAAACGCCGATTGTGAGCAAGGCCAGTATGAAGCACGGATTAAAATGTATCTACAAATCGCTGAAATTAATTGTTTAAAACACATTGCACACCTTGCTTGCCAATAGCGCTGTCATCCAATGACAGCGGGCATTTGCACAGAACAGAATTCTGGGAAGGGAATGCAGGATCCAATCACGGGTAAGCGGCACACGTTGCAAGTTGCCGGAAAAAAATAACCTTTGACCTTACCTTAGTCTTATGCACGGACAAGTTTCGCACACTTGACCCCAATGTGCACCGTCAGTGTAACATTTAATTATTCCACATCTCCCCCCCCCCCCACTCAATATTATTCCAACCGTGCCGTCAGTGTCATGTCGTGAGAGGAACGATCCATTCGGAGCTCTCGCAGAGCAGTGAATCACCCCGTGTGAGAGAAACACTGTGCGGGAGGTGGCACCTCAGAACTTCTTCCGAGATCCCTTGCATCGACACCTTCGCCACACGTTCCCACATGCTCAGCAGTACAGTTGCGTGTCACCTACGTGTCGCTTAAACCGCCGTTTTTAATTCTCAGTGCTGCAATTTACACCAAATTACATTCGGCAGTTAGGGGGATGGGGGCTTGTGGGGGCGGGTGGGGTGGGGGGTTATGTAGGGAGGTAGGTTGATGGGTAGGTAGGTACATAGGCAGGCAGGTTGGCTGTTAGCAGGTATATAGGTTGACACACGGACGAAATACAGGTAGCTAAGCGGTAAGCGTATTGGCAGGAACCATGCGCAGACAGGTACGTACGAACCAATGACAGGGCAGCGGCATCCGGGCTCTACGGCGACTCGGAGCGGCAACCCCCCTCGTGTGGAAGCGCGGCGCACCCCTCACCTGTCATCTCCAGGCGCACGGGCGGGCTCAGGGGTCCAGCGTGGGTCCCCGCACACACGGCCTGCACCTCCACCCAGTACACGGAGCCCAACTGCAGCTCGCCGAGGATGGCGCCCTGACCAGACGCCGCGCAGACCGCCGCGTCGTCAGAAGAACGGTTTGACGGGCGACAAATCAAGGGCGGCTTTCTGGACGCGTGGATTTTCGCGCAGCGGTACGGCCGCTTGCAGGCTTGCACGTTCCGGGGTGGGGGGGATCCCGTCGGAGTTCACTCTTTGTGATGCGCGCTGAATAGCTGAGGATCGCTTATCGGTTTAATGGGGGGGGGCAGCCTCTCACCGTGTCCTGCTCCCCCTCGGTGAGGATCCGCTCCACGGGGGAGTCACCACCGGCACCCTCTTTGCGGCACGTGACGGCGTAGCGCTCGATGGTGGCAGCGTAGACGGCGGCGGGCCGCTCCCACGTCACCATGGCCGCCGTCTCGTTGTGACCGCGGGCCGTGACGTTGCGCGGCTCGCTGGCGCACACTGCGCACGGTGGGGCGGTGGGACATAGGGGATGAGGCGACACGGGCACGAGACGGGGATGAGAGGAGGACGCGTCAGGGACAGGGAAGGGGTGAGAGCAGAGATTGTGTATGCGTGTGGTGGGGGATGAAAAATAATTGGGATTTTGATTTTTTTAAGGAAAATTCTGATTTGTTTTTGTTAGATGGCGGGTCATGTACATGAAGGTGTATATTTCGGAATCTTTGGGCTCACAAAAGCGACGTCACTTGACAACACCATTTTGGCGGTAAAACATCTGGGAGATGCACCGTATCGGTGATGTCACCTCCCTTTTTGGAACAAATCCAAAATAAAAATATATTTTTTAATTGTCCAAAATATCCAATCACATCTGATTGACAGACTTAGTTACTTGGAAAACTCGGGAGCGTGTCCCGAGCAACGCGCGACGCTACCATCATCGTCGTCATCATCATCGCCGTTGTCATCATCAATGTCATAATCATCGTCGTCATCATCGTTATCATCGTCGTCATCATCATCCTCGTCATCATCGTCGTCATCACCATCATCGTCGTCATCATCATCGTCATCATCACCATTATCATCGTCGTCATCATCATCATCGTCGTCATCGTCATCATCATCGTCGTCATCATTATCATCGTCACTATCATTATCATCGTCGTCATCATCATCGCCGTCATCATCATCGCCGTCGTCATCATCATCGTCGTCATCACCATCATCGTCGTCATCATCATCGTCATCATCATCGTCATCATCATTATCATCGTCGTCATCATCATCATCGTCGTCATCGTCATCATCATCGTCGTCATCGTCATCATTATCGTCATCATCATTATCATCGACACTATCATTATCATCGTCGTCATCATCATCGCCGTCGTCATCATCGCCGTCGTCATCATCGTCGTCGTCGTTGCTTCGCTCCTCGGGAGCCGTGCACGGCACCTTGCGCGGGCGGTGGCTCGGTGGTGGGAGGCGTCGCAGGCCCCACGCGGTAGCGGACGAGGTCGGCGCCGGACGGCAGCGGCTGTGGCGGGCGGAAGTTGTCCTGCAGGTACTCGAGCAGCATGGCGTAGCCGGCGCGCACCATGATGAGCACGCCGTACAGCGCCTCCAGCTGCGCGGCACAAGGCGCGGCGGGGGAATTGACGTTGAGAGCCGTCCGGTCGCAGTCTACGGCGGGGCGTTGCTCGACTCGAGCCCCCACCGCGATGCGGTGGTGGCTCGCGGGATCGTCACCGCGTGGCACGGCCAGGGAACTTTGACGGCGCGGGTTGCTTCGTGTTCGTGTTGCACAAGGACACACTCAGCTAAACGAATACTCTAAATGCACGTCTCTAAATGTGGAAGGAAAAACCGGAGGACCTGGAGAAAAATCAATGCGACCACGGGGAGAACATGCAAGCTCCGAATATAGATCTCGCCACCGTGGCGCCTTGGTTTAGATGACCATCCAATGTTTCGCTCCACTTGCCGTGAGCTTAGAGCACGTGGAGGCGATTACGCTGAACATCGCAGAGAACAACACGTCGCAGCGCCACTATTGAGAACCGTCGAGTCGCGTTCTGTGAAAATGTTTCAACTACCGCGCCGGAGGATCGAACCGGCGACCTCCGGATTGAAAATCCAGAGCGCTAACCCTGACATTATGGCAGGACCCCTTAGCTGGACAGAAATACACATGTTCATTTGACTGGGACGACTGTCCATTGAACCAATCGGTCTTATTAACAAAAAAAGGTTTTCGAATCAGAATTTTGACATCCAAACAAAAGAGTGTGCGAATGCGAAGGAGACATTACTCGTGTGAACTTCCCACCACAACACAGTTGCTCCCGGAGTTACGAGAATGCGCGAGGCCCTAGTGGGGGGGGGGGGGGCATTTGATCTTTATTTACCTGGTGGGCGGAGATGTGCACCGTCCGGGGGAAGACGGTCCACTCCACCCCCTGGGCGCAGGGCGGTGTGGTCGTCGTGCCCGAGTAGCGGAAGAATTCGTCCGTGGACTCGGGAAGCAGATCCGCGGGACGGAACGCGCTCACCTTGTCGTGAAGGTCTGCGCCGTGGAGGGGGGCCGGGGGTGTGGGGGGCACCGCCACGGGCAGAATCGATCGGTCACGACGGAAACGGGCGCCCGGCCGATCCGCCGGCGTTACGCTCTGCGTGGAGAGCGAGCGGCGAGCGGTCTCAAGGCTAAAATCTCGCTTGGAGGTTGACGCAGTCCATCCGTCCTCCGCGGTTGATAAAGCGAGTACCATTTTGTGAGGAAATTCAAAAGTGGTTGTTCTGTGGATAAACTTACCCATGCCATAGGAATGTAGATTTTTCCGCCACTGGCTAGGGCCGGTTAATTGGAGACGTCGACTGGCTCACTCACCAACCTCCGCGCGAACATATAAATGTCGCTGACCAACTCTGAACCGTAACGAAATAATAATAATGAGACCGCTGAAATCACCATAAGTGGGTCCAATCTCGTTCACTCTGCAAAGCCAAACGGAGCTGAACCTGGCTAGTGCTTAGATGAGTGACCGCCAGAGCTTTCCAGGTGTTTTAAGTTTGGGCAGTTTACCAAGCGCTACCCCTCGTATGTATCGGTTTCCTCTGGGCACTCCAGTGTCCTCAAACATGCGTAACCCTCGTTAATGACAGCGGTCAACGTCCTAATGCAGGACCCTCCTACAATAAAGAAAGAATCTCCACTCTCCGTGCAGCTTTCATGGGTAAATTATTGGATTTATTATGTCGTTGTTATTATTACGATGAAGATATGAATCGGAAAATATAGAACAGTCCCTCAATTCCTGCGGCCAACAGAGCACCATGGGAACAACTCCAAAAGATGATGCAAACACAAGGTCTGTTTTGATTTAAAGCTTTCGTGACTGCAGGGATTCATATTCTTGGTTATTTCGGTAAAGTCACGTAGAAGGGAAATAATAAAATAATAAAATGTATAAACAATAAAATTCTCACGAAACGTCGTGAGAATTTTATATTTTGTATTATTTTATTGTTTCCCTTCTACGTGACTTTACCGAAAGAACCAAGAATATAGAAGGTCTGTTGTTGGCCTCCCTTACCCGACGCCAGATGTCGCCCCTCTACGCTTTGCCACGAGTCTCGCTGCGCCTGACATACACCAGTGGCAGCCGCGTGTCAGGCACGTGCCTCGAAACCACCGGGCAAGGAGTTTGTGGATCACGCAGCGTTGTGAACCTGCTAGGGCTGAGAGGCAGCTGCGAGGTGGCAGAATAGCGCAGGGCTCTGTGATACCCGTCTGTGCGAACCTTTGGGGTGAATTTCCCTCTCTGTACGTGTGTAGGTTTTTTTCAGGTGCGCTCCCTGAAAATGAGTTGGCTCCGTCACCATGATGGAGGAACCTTCCTGATAAAAATAACTCGCGTGTTGTGTTGAAAGATAAAGGAGCAGCCCTGCAATCGCTTGCTCAACTGCTCGCTTATCCTGCTGGCAGAATGGCCTTCACTGTAGTGAGCTCTAAAGCACCCCCGTCCTGCCCCCATCCACACCATATTTGTCCCAGTATTCTACCACGCAGGCCGGATGTCGGAGCAGGAGGTGGCAGCGCCCACACTTTACCCCACCACACGTGACCGACCTGCCGGTGGCATACCCATGAATACTGCTGGGTAGACAAAGGCGGCGTGGAAGGGGGGGGGGGGGAGAGATTTAACAAAACTCCCGCCGCTGTTTCAACTTCCGCGCCCGGGAGTTTGATCCGACGACCCATGGGCGGCAAGTCCAGCGCCCTGACCATTACGCCGTGACAATGGTCGCGGCTCTACGTGAACGCGCAGAATGGGGTGGCGTGCACGTGAATACCCGGCTGGCAAACTCTCTTCACGGCCTCGAGCAGGGGGATGTAAGCGCTGTTGTTGTCTTTTGCGATCTAAAAATTGAAGAGACAAAAACATGACGTCACCAAATGCAGCGATCGACTGGAATGACACAAATTTGCGAATTACATCCTACAAAGTCAAACGCTTTACCCGAGTACTCTACATTTGAATCTTAACCAAAAACAGTGTTTATTCTTTCGAAGTGCAATCGTTGGATTGAACCAATTACATCGAGAACGCTGACCGAGGGACGTAAAAAAGTACAGCCAAACAACAAAGAGCGTAAACATTAGATGAGTCTACGGTCCCTTTGCCCAATTAATTCCGATTGGATTTAGTTTCATATTTATTGAACGTGGCGAGCTCTCACCTTTATTACGAATAACGACTGCCACGTAAGAGGTGTGCGATTTATTTGAGGAATCAGAAACTTATTTATCATTCCTTCGTGATTTTGGGAATGATTATGCGTACGGTAAAACAAAATTCTCAAACTCCGTTACGCTAAATTATAAGAAAAGGGAGTGAAAACGAGCGGTGATTTTAAAAGAAAATTTATGCTGATGACAACATAGACCAAGCAGCCCTGTCTTGATCTATCGACTGCCATGGAGATTGCTGTTAACGAGCGCCTGCTAAGCGCGATATTTTGCCAAGAAGTTGTCAGGCGGGCCAAGCACACTCGGCCAACGTTGTATCTCCAATGCTGTACGCCAGAATGAGAATATTTATACTGGAGGAATCCGATAAGCTTTAAAGCTCTTTTTCACAAGTTGTCCAGTGCATGTACTGTACGTTTAACGTCTTTCGCACCGTACGTAGCCAGCTGTGCTAATTGGAGATTGCTGATGTTCACCATACGAGCTACGTACTCATTGTAGGTTCAGTTGACCCAGGGAAAGCTCAAAGTCACTAAGCTCGGGTTGCCAGGCTTCACGAATTTCTATCTGGCACAGCGTTCGTGCGCGTGTGAGGAGCGGTGGTGTAGCGGTTAGCGCTACGCTGCGCTACGAACCTGGAGACCCAAGTTCGATTCCCGCTCACGGCCGACACGAGTGACGACAATGTGAACCGGTCCTGGGCTTCCCCAAGGTGGACTCAGCCTCAAACGAGTACCTTGTGGGGTGTGTAAACATCGCCACTCGTGGCAGTTGGCCACCCACCCCCTCGTGTGTCGTGCTGGCCGTCACGGGTGCTCGCTGACAAGCTACGAGGGGGGATCGTTGTGTTTGTGTGCGAGGGCTGCCCCTGGGCCCCGTTGCACCTCGAAGAGGATGGACAGGGCTGCCATGTTCCCGCCCGCCTTCATCGCGGCGGCGAAGCTGCTGTGGTGTTCCTGGCTGTAGCCGTAAATCTGCACCTGCGACAGCGGAGCACAGAGGAGGCCATCGCGAAGGTCAATCGCCGGGGCAAGAGGGGAGACAGAGGCAAAGCCTCTCGACTCTTGAGCCCCGGAAACCCAGAAGTAACAAATAGGAAACAACTTTCACAAAGTATACGTTTCACTGTGTTGTCTTCGTAAGCGCATCCATTCGAATGTTTAATCGCTAAAACGTCAACTTCAGAGATAAAATCATCCTGCAACCATATATACAATTCCCTTATGGGTAGACTGACCATTACCAGGGGAATTTGGAATTCCCACCGCCGGCTCTGGGCCATCGATGAAGAAGGCCGCTGTTGAATGTTCATTTGATAATTAAGGAACTCTATCTGACCTATGATTGATATTATCTGTACACTGACATGCACTGGTTCATTTCGTATCAACATCACTCGCTTTCACGACCTCTCAGTTGTGTACCTGGAGATAAAGCACATATAGCTTAGCTCTTATATGTAATCGAATGGATGGGCGTATGATGTCAACACAGAACTAATGACTTTAAATCACATCAACAAAGATGTTTTTTAAGGCTTCTAACAGACTATAATCATAGGCTCATGCATTATTTAATTCTGGGCAAAGGGCAATGACAAGCGCTTATTTTCTGATGCAGTGTGACCACCACAGGATAAGTAATTACAACCCCACAATCAGATAACAATCAAGGCATTGTAAAGACACCGAGCTGCTATCACATTTCCAAGCAAACCGCGTGCGCTCTCGGTTATCACCCCCACCAATTCCTCGCATTCATCATCGTCAGCCGCGATCTGTCCACAACTGGAGGATAAAGGCCTCCTCGCCAGGCCATCGCCCTGACGCATTGTCTCGTGATGCAGCAATCCATCAAGCTCGGCGTGCACGCGAGTCGACTCAAATCTCCTCGCACCTTTGGCTGCCACTCCGGGCGTTAGTGTCGACCACGGCCAAGGCCGGCCTGCTCAAGCTTCTTCCTCTTGCAGGGCCTCGGCGCCTCTGTTTCGTCGGCCTTCAGTGATAGCTGACCACAGTTGCTACTGGTTGCCACCCCATGTCACTATTGTTATGTTAAATGTAGATAATATATTTCTTATATTGTCCCCCCCCCCTCAAAAATGTAACCCAATTCGTACTGCCGGTGTCATGTCACGCGACAAAGAATTTGTTTGGATCTCTCTCACACAGAGCAATGCAACCTCCCCCTCCATGTTAAAGGAGCGCCCACGGAAGTGGATATCACAGAGCTGCCTCTGAGATCGTTTCAAGTGACCTCTGGTATTCAAAGTAGGGGAAGGCACTTTTCCACCCATCCAACGAAACAGAGAGTAATGTTCGTCGCACGACATTCAAACCGATAATTGTAATCAACACGGTTGAATAAACGCCAAATGAAGTGCAGTCCTAAATTGAATGTGATGGTTTATGTGCATTCGTTGGTAATCGGGCTGATGACCCAGACCTTGGGGTCAATTTTAACTACAAAAACAGCAGCATTGTTGAGTGGAATTATAATTACATTGTGGTTGCAATTCAATACACGTGACCCAGTTACAATTGTAATCGACTCCAGGTCTGTATGTACGACAGACAACTGCCTTGACTTGCATCCGGGATCTCTGTATAAACGCACACGACTGTTTGAGTTTGGGCCACTGATCAAATCAGGCATACGCGGCATCTCTCCTAAAGAAAATTTAAAAAACCTTGGAGGCCTTTGAGCTGCTTCTAATCTTGCAATGTCCACACCGGCACCAAGTTCAGCATCAGGATCAGAATATTTGTTTATAGTGGAGGAATCCGATGAGCTATAAAGCTCTTTTTCACAGACGTCCACTGGGGGCAGGTCAGAACGTTACAACAACAAACAGTACATAAACACAATAGGAGTGCAGAGTATAAGCAAGGTAAACAAATAGATTTAAAAATATATACAAATAAAACTAAACAATTTTTATCTTACCGGGTAAAGCCCACTGAGCTATTAGCTTTTGTTTTATGAGCGACCTGGCCACAAACGATAGCGCAAAGAAGTGGTTTATAATCACGTCGAAATGTATCGCGGCAAAATAATAAAAAAAAACGCACGTCGATTCTAAATGAGGGAAACGCCGGAGGACCCGGAGGGAAAAAAATCCACGCGACCACGGGGAGAGAGAGAGAGCGGGAGACGCAAACTCCAAATATACAGCAGCAGTAGCAGCAGGCGTCACGTGGGTGAAAGTGAAACATTCTGCGCTTGGCGTCGATGGCGCGAGGCGTGGACGCTTAAGACGATCCTCGCCCCATTGAAGGGAGCGCCACAACCGCACGTCTATCGCCTATTGCGCGCCCCTCAATAAATCATGAGGCCAGTAGCAAAAGGCCCGGCGAGAGGGACGCGCGCAGCGCCGTCATTGTGCGCGAGTCAAAAGCCTCGCCATGCATTATTGATCTCGCTCGCTAACAATGCCAGTGGGGGGGGGGGGGGGGGGGGGACTCGTCGCTGTTGTTACTCAAGCAGCAAGTGGCAAGCGAGGGACACGGAGAAGGGGCTCCCCTCGTCTCGTGGGGAGACCGAGCCTCCTGCCCAACTCTTAATCCGCGAACAACCCCACCGGACGAAGCCACAGTGCCCTGCCATGGTGGCTTGCACGGGCCCTGATACAATGGAATTAAATGAGGTCCTCCACCACCACAGTGCATTTTCCTCCCCTATTTTGTAGCCTGGAGCCTGGGCGCTCTCGGGACTAAGGGTCGTGGTGTAGTTACACAGCCTTGCAATGTCGAGAGCAACACCACTGATGTACGTCTGCACAGGTATAATTACATCTCTATGTAAGTGCAGGTATGGGTCTCTCTGTGAGTCTCTGAATCTCTATCAATACATCTGTGGGCGAGTGGCATAGTGTGGTTAACATGGGCCCTGGTGCAATGAATTAAATAATGCCCCACCACCACCATCCCCCTCAGACAATCCCGCCCCCCCTCCCCTCTTCGTAGTCTGGCCCGCGTGGGCCCTTCCATCCCGTGGGGCCTGGGGCAGTTGCACCGCCTGCACCCTCCGCAGCTACGCGACTGGAGCGAGATCGGGCGTTGGTGCGAATGGAGCGGCCAGCCAGTTGCACGTGAGCCGTCCGTGGTGGCCACGCGGGTTTAGTGAATGCACTGAGAAGGCCTAGTGGCAGATAATTTGGCGTGGGCACAGTTTCGCAATTGTTAATATATTTTCTTTTGGAATGTTTGGCTTTTGTGAAACCACGACGATGATGAAATGCTTCCATGTACTTGGCAGCTATCCACCACCCCCAGGGCCCGGTGGCCAAAACTCTTAATCAACAAAAGACGGGAGAGCTAAGAACATGTAATTTTTTGTTCTTTCCCGAAAACAAAGAGCGCTATCATCTACACTTGCAAAATTATTAAACTCACTTACTAATTTGACTTCTACCATCCGTAAGATAAATAATTACATTAACTGTTAACCAGCTTTAGCAAGCACTGCACACACACCTCTGACCAAATCATCGTGAATGATTTTAAAAGCTAAGCAAAATTTGAGCCTGGACAGTACTCAGATGGGAAATTGCCTTAGGTAAGACGAGGAATTTTAGGCTAGGACCGTCGGGTGAGCAGGTGATGGCAGGAGAGTATTCGATTCTTGAATCTACTCGTGTGGAGTTTTGAGCGTTACACCTTCATATGCAGGTTTTTCTCCAGGTTCTTCGGTTTCCTCCCATAAGCTAATCACTCCCGAAGAGGAGTGGCCAAGCATCCCAATGCAAGACCCTTCTTAATAGGAGTCTTGAGACTCGGTGAGTTTTTTGTATAGGCATCAAAGTAGAACTCGCCTATCTGCTGAAGTACTACTCAGGACTCTTATTATCCATGGTACCAAAATACTCCTTAGAATATCCCTCCATTTATCTGAGCAACCACAATTATTAAATCCCCCCCACAATGCATTGCAGATCAACCACCTCTAAACATTATTTCGTGGATAAGAGGAATTAAGGGGCAGAATCATCATTGTCCACATTTATTCGTGACAACGTTAAACCACTGGCGAGATGAAATCCTATTGTCCACAAAATTGTTCGAAGACGCGAGGAATTGAAGCAGAAATTCATCCCGTTATACACATTTTTGAACTCACCCCCCAACCCCCTCGAGTATAATTGGGAGTATCACACGCGGAGAGGATAGAGACGGCGAAGCTCGTCTCCCACGTCATTGCGGAACTGAGGATGTGTTTTGTGTTGTTGTTGTCGTTACCAACCTCCGGGATGTCAAAGGATTAAACGTTCATCGTGCAACCAGACAGATCCACGTTCACTACTCGGCCACGCAGTGGCGTGTCGGCAGATTCGGGAATACTGCGGTGAATAAAGTGCGTCACTCATAATCGTTTTTTTTGGGGTTAGATCACGTAAATATAAATGTGTCTTTAAACCCGCCACCACTTGACAGAGCCAATTAGTAAGGTTTGTCACGTAAACAGAACGTGCCAATTCGTTACTCGTACAGCACACCGGTGTGTTGGAGAGCAAATCCACAACATTTACAATCCAAGTACGGCGTTTTGCCAGCAATGTGTCACTGCTTAATTGAAATCAATCATTTGCTTACACTGCCCAGTTTTTGTACAGCCTTCCCACTCATCTCGTGGGTTCCTTGCATGGAGCTTGCAGCCAATGTTCTATGTTCTTTACAAGGGCGTGATTTAAAACGGACTTTGTGTTTCGTTCCATTTATTTAGAGGTCTCAAAGGTTTTTCATTATAGTAATAATAACAAAGTCAATGCTTCTAATCAGGAAAGCGTTACTTAGTGCCATGCCTCTCTTTTCCAGGACCACACTGCTCGGCTAATTACTTTTTAAAAGGATTGTTGTGCTTAATGAAGGTCATTCAAAAGGCTACACGGATGGATTCACTTCCCACTTGCTCTCACTGCTATGTCTTTGCAACCTGGCTGTTCAGCGGATTTGAGAAGTTTCACAAACCTTTACATAATCCACCAACTCTCGCCTAACACGTCCTGGGTCATAGCTACTGCGCCACAGTGCCCCATGTGCTACGTTTTGCCATAGGAATGTGGAATTTCCACCAGCGGCAAATGGCCAGCAATGCAGATGAGTTTCTGCTCATGCTTATTTGAGCATGCTTTAAATGGACTTTCACTCTGTAATCGCAACTATGAAATAATTTGCAAATGTTTAAGTTACAAATGCTGTTAAAGTGATATATACATATATTATTGGTTCTTTTGGTAAAGTCACCACGTAGAAGGGAAACAATAAAATAATACCAATATAAAACAATAACATTCTCATGACGTTTCGACTGCAACACAAGCAATCATCATCAGGTGTGAAAACCACAGCAAGAAAATTTGAAAAAAGTGGCGGCTTTTTTAACGTTAGCACCACGGAGAGCGATTTTGCAATTATATACTGTGATATATACTGTTTAGTGATAAATTAGTGTGTGCTATTCCAATATACGGAACATTCACCAATATGTTCATCCGAGGCAGAATAATATCGCTTCCTTTTTCAAATCAATAGGCTCTCACTGAGAGACAACATACATACAACGTGTGTTGTATGTATGTTGAACTTTTTTCGCACCGTACATAGCCAACTGTGCTAATCGGAGGTCAGGGGAATAACAAAAGAACATAAAACATCGCTCCACACGACGTTTTCTCGCAGCCACCGTAACGCAGGCAGTTTATCGATTCCTCCAGAGCGCTTGGTAAATGTCCGGCCATTCCCCGATGCAGGATCTTTGAATTGCGTCCGACCTACGACTCAAACAGCCCCGCCATGGACCCCGTCGCCAGATCTCAGGAGCGAAGGCAGTCGGCAAGCCTGGGGGGAGAGCCCCAGGATGGGCGACCACCGCCGGCTTCGTTCGTGGGCAGCAGAAGACAGACAGCGCGAATGTTTCCCCCTTCACGCCGTGCCTCTCCTCGGTGTGACTGCAGATCGGAGGCCGCACATTGAGTTCGCTATCGGGGTTGGGCGGCGGAGCGGACGGGCTCCCTGTTGATGGGAGCACGCGAGCTGCGGATGCACAAGCGGACTCGTTGTGCTTTGTGCACGCAGCAGCCATGCTTGTGCTGGTTCTGTTCAACTTTCTCTCTCTCTCCCAAGTCCTCTGCCCCAAGGGCAGACCCATGGCTCTAGGCTCCCTCCCATCATATCCAAGCCGACTGGCCCCCTCTCTTCATGCTGCCGCACCACGCTCCATGCTAGGGCCATTGTCGTCATCCGTGCCGCTGGGTTGGCGAGTGTTCCAACCTTCTCCACAATCTTGTGCCCTGCCACGTCTCCTCCACCACTCCCCACCGAGCGCTCACCGCGACCTTTCACCTCCTTCCTGAATATTTCACTCCATGGTTTTATTCGAGGGTTCCCGCGGTCTTTTCCCTTCGCGCTTACATTGAATAGACGATACAGACAGTCCTCGACTTGCGAACACCCGCACTTAACGAACCGGCTTCCATGAAATATATTTTCAACATTTTTTTAACATTGACTTAAAACGCGAACTCGCATTTGCAAACTAAAACCGCGGAGCTATTTTATTCAGAGGAGCTATCCTCTGCGAGATGTAGTGAGTCGGCCTCGCGCTGCGAGTGTGTGTGTGCGCGTGAAAGTAAAAAAAATCTATCTATGTTACGTTCTTTTACGTTTTATTTACAGTAAGTTTTACAGTATTACATGAAAATGTACAACAACACTGGCCGTACGGGCATTTAAACGCAGTGCATTTTTGTGTTCCGACTTACGAACCAGTTCAACTTAAGAACGGGTCTCTGGAATGAATTAGGTTTATAACCCGAGGACTGCCCGTGTTGTCAATTCTTCCCATCCATACCCTACCATTTCAACCTTACCAATGATATTTTTTCTAGAAATCCCTCCGTTGTCAACTCCCCCATTTTTTATGAGTTCACTGTAAAAGTTGCTCCCCTCTCCATCAAGTTTCGCTCTGATCGCGCATTCAGGGGCGGTGACGCGGCACGGCGACCGCTGCTCGACGCAGAGGTTCGTGGTTCAAATCCAGCGGCCGCCCTGGTTATTACTGTCGGCGCGTTAACAGAAAAAATACCTACGCATCATTTGCTTCACGGAGGGCGTTAAAAGATCCCGGGTGACACCGCTCGCAAGAGTGGGCCACCGTGTGTGTGTGTGCCGGATTGTTGCACATTCGAAAATTGCACCCACAAGTGACTCAATTTGGACTCTACGCACATAGCAATCATTGGCCCCCTACTGCAAAAACCTGGCAGGACTCTCGTGAAAACAAGGCATTGAGACTGAGTGAGGCTTGCCCGGGTAAGCAAGCTTAATAATAAAAATAATAAAAATGTATGAATCAGAACAGAAGATTCTTAATCCGGCAAGCACACAAGCAAAGGGCCATTATTGTACCATACAGTGATTGGTGTCTCGCTTGGTGGAGGAGAGTCATTTACCAACGTGGCATTTGAGCCCCGAAATTTCGCGTACAATCGGCAAGTGTTGTGCATCTACAATTCATGAACATATTGCAGAATTTACGCAGTGACATTTCGACTCGCGCACAATGCATGCACATTGAGTAGACATATGGTGTTCCACTGTACGAATTTCACTTCTATATTCATCAGGGTTTCTCCATATAGAGGTCTTGTCTATTAATTAAAGGATCTATTTTTTTTATCAGGTCATTAAGCACCATCTGGAACTTAAATAATAGATTAACTCCAAAGGTGTCACAATATATATTTATTTCAAAATCGCATTATTTTTGCATAAATTACTTTTACCAGTACAACTGATATAGAGATGATTTAAAGCACTTCGTGCCGTGTCGGGCATCTGTTTGTTTGGACCATGATTTCACCAAGCTGGTCAGTGCAGGAGTCCAGCACCGGTTCAGATACCACTCGCCAATGAGGTCACCTGGTTTGCATTTGGCAGTGTCTTAATCACTGCACCACCGTTCCCCCCATCAGTGCAATATCGCTGAGTAATTAGTCAGTGCCTGGGACCACATGAAAGTGAACTCCGGCAGCCGGTCGACCTCGGTGCAGTTGCACCGCCTGCACACCTGACAGCTACACTGCCGTCCGTGTCCGCCACGCACGCCCCCCTCCCCCTCCCTCGCACCACCCCCTTCTCCTCCTTACTTCGAGGGGGAAGGAGCGTCCCGAGAGGCGGTGCTCGGAGCCCTCCGTGCCGTTGGAGTGGCCCCAGTGGAAGGTGAGCCACGCCATGCGGTAGCGGCCCTGCAGTCCGCCTCCCCGCAGGTGGTAATCTCCCGACAGGTGCACGATCACTGCGACGCGCACAACAACCCACGGCGCCATCAGCCACTGCCACACAGCGACATCAACCACTGCCGCTCAGCTAAATCAGCCACTGCCCCTGTAGATGAATCGCTGCCTGTCTAGATCATCCAATAAAACTATTCGATCACTTTGACGACATCAGCTTGGCAAACGGTGTTAAAAGGCGGGTTTTCAAGTCTTTTTTTTGTTCCGTGACACACTCCTCATTGACACACTCGGTGCCAGACAGCGACGCAGTGTCACCACTCACCCGTCTTGCCGTCGTGTTTGATGGTGGTGGTTGTCGAGGGGACGTCCCAGCCTTCGAACTCCAGGCCGTCGGCAGGAGACAGGACCTCCGCTTGCACCTCGCTCGCAATGTCGATGGGGGACTGCCGCTCACCTCTGCAGCCCTCGTACAATTCTGGCCAGTAACCTGGGCCTGTGGTACCTACGCACAGAACGAGACAAAGATCCCCCTTAGATCCTAAACAGACTGTTGGGGCAAGTGTTGCTAGCGAGCACCTATGAAGGATGGCAACGGCGCAAGAGGGGGTGGGTGGCCAACACGTCACGCCCGGCCGCCTTTGTCTCCCCAGTGGCGATGTTTACACACCACACCAGGTACTCATTTGAGGCCGAGTCGACCTACGGGAGGCCCATGACCAGTTCATATAATCTTCATCGGTGTTGGCCATGAGCGGGAATCAAACTCGGGTCGCCGGGTTCGTCGCGCAGCTCGCTAACCATCGCACACAAACACGAATCCCTCTTTTTCCACTGCACAACCGATTAGTGCCGAGGCTGAGCTTGTGGCAAGGCCATGCCAAGCTAGCCCGGCGCGGGTCGGGAGCTACCAGGTTGATTTCCCATTGGAGAACCAGAGCCGTGCTGCTGACGTCACGCGTAATAAACGTTTCGAGTCGCAAGAGGCTGAGTCCACGCAGTGCACCGACCGATGTCACATGCAAGGAATCAGTCAGGACGCCGTTGATCTCGTGCATGACCTTGTATTGAACCCTACCCGGGTATCTCAGATCGTAACACCATGCCACCCATACCCCCACGCGCTCGCATAACCGATGAGATCTCTCTATCAGCCTGGTAAGGCTGCCGAAACAAGTGGCTCTTAGTGAACGTAAATGATTACATTGGACACGACACGTGATGAGGACAGCACCATGCCTGGATTCCTTTCCCATTCCTCTTAGAGAAGAGGAGAAGGTGTAGTCACGCAATTGTTTACTCGTACCGCTGCTGGCGGAAGGGCCTCACTAATAACGAGCTCTCGTCACCCCTTCTAAATCACAGTTGGCCTCATCTTCCACGCTGCCCACATATATTGGAAGAGGTGGGTGTACGTCCGCTTCAGTCCGCGACTCTCTGCACTGCACCCACTCACACTGCTGGGCGGGCAGAGACAGCGGAGGGGATTTGAGAAACTTGCGCCGTTGTTTCTGCTGCTGCTGCGCTAGGAGATGGAATCAGACCGGCGGCCTCTGAATTGCAAGTCCAGCGCGCTGATCATTACTGCACGGAAACAGCCCTGCTTAACTGGTGTCAATATCAATGAAACGAGGAGTTTCATTTTGAGGAATAAACCAAAGCGTTCTATCGTATCGCGCGGTAAAATGTTGTTTCTCAAAATTTCACCTTTTTTTGGGGGGTGGGGGGGGGGTCACTGAGCCAAACACAAAACGTCGTCTTCATGTGTCACTGAGCTTTTGAAATTTGAACTCAGAGTATGTTTACGAGCATTACACGCGCATATACAAACACGTAATATAGATACGCTATACATTTGTCTTTGCTTCTCATTTTCCAGGCCGCAACTATTTTTATTCCGATTTTAATATGTGCACGAACACGGTGAGTCACCGGGCGACACGCACGCTGTCAAATTAAACACCGCAAAGTGGCGAGACAGAGCCGTGGCAAGGCCCGTTTTAATCACTCGGCCCAAAAATACACGCATTTAATCAATCATTGTACAAAGCGTTGATCTTGTGTTAAATCATATTCAGTGCGTATGCTTTCGCGACCAATATCTTCCATAATAAAGGTTGTTTGGGTGAGATCGCCTTAATGTATAAATGTTTCGTTAAACTAATGAAGCTAGTTGTAATTATTGGCAAAACGTCGTACTCAGATTGTAAATGTCTGTGGCTTTGTCCTCCAACACACTGGTGTGCTGTACTTGTAACGAATTGGCACGTTCTGTTTACGTGACAAACCTTACAATTTGGCTGTGTCAGGTGGTGGCGGGTTTAACGACACATTTATATTTACGTGATCTAACCCAAAAAAACCCCTCTATTATGGATATTCAGTGCGGTTTAAATTCCATGCTCTTGAAAGTGTGTTCAGTCGATTTGGACCAGGCGGCAATTGTAAATGTTACAACTGCATTGGCACGTAATAAACGGCATCGTCGTCAGCATGTCCGAGACGGCGAACGTTTACCTCCACGTGCACACTCACACCTCCCACACTCCAGTTTACAGAAAAAAAATCTTCTCATGATGGTCGCTGTGAAACGCGCCTGGCAAATGGCGTTGCGGTCTTAGTACGACGTCCAGTGGGAATGGGCCACGGAAATTTGTTGCAAGAAGCGAATGAATAAGGCAGCGAAGTTGGGCTCAGGATAAAAATGAGCAAACGCAAAGGCCACACGCAAGGAGGTCCCCTGAACAATTTGAGATGTCTCTCCGAGGGATACAACTTGGAACACACCAGACCACTGCTTGTTGCGTTTAGTGTTTGTTGTCCTTCCCCCGCACCTCCGATGAGCACGGTTGGCTACGTACGGTGCGAAAGAAGGCCAACATACGTACATGCAATACGTGTGTCCAGGACAATTATTTAAGTCCAACTGGTGTCACAATTATGAATTAATGAGGTGGATGAGAATGGTTCAGAGTGCTTTTTGAAAGTTGAATTTGATAATGAAAAGCAATTAAAAAAAAATCACCTGGATAATCCCTTTAAGTGGAACATCCCATTTGCAAGTTGTATCCAAGGAAAGACGCACTGAGAGTCGCATGATTTGGATTATATTGAGACACAGAGAGAGAGGAGCACAAGGATTACGCAACATTCATCGCACCAAAAATATTTTGACTGATAAGAAAAAGCAGTCCTGGGAAAAACACAACGCGAGAAGAGGTGATGGCCAGTGGCTGAGATGAACGATGGAGGGTCCAGCCAAAGGAGGGAACGCGTCCGACAGGACACCTTCCACGGAGATGGAGCAACCAGATCAGCTCGTGTGCAGGTGATAGGTGTAATGTGACGTTGGAAGACCGTGAAAGATAGTAGCGGCTTTGGAGGGGGGGGGGGGGGTTAATGCAGCAGTGGATTGATGGAGGGCTTTACAACTTTACATTTCATATATGGCCCATCATGCCACGCGTCACGTGGCCCCAGGTAAGTACGCTCACTGCTGTGCCCACACTTCCACGGCACGGACCCGGGACCTGCGAGATGCTGCTAGGCATCTCCCAGAGGAGAACTGGACGGGGCAAGCACTACTGCCCAGTGGTTGTGGAAACGCAGCCTACGCCGACCCCAGGTCCTACAGTCTCAAGTGGCTCTCACCTGGAATAAAAAAAGACAGCTGAAGTTAATTGATTGCCATGCAACCTAAGCGGACTGTTGTGTCACCACAAGCCCTGACTGCCAGTATCATGAGAGGCATACGACGAGAGGTAATTTATGGTCCTGGCTCAAGGCCCACGTAGAGCCGATATAGAGTAACCGGGTGTCTCCACGCGGTAACTCCGCTGATGTTTATCAGTTCCATCAGAGCTCATAAAACCGGGGTGACGCGTCTCCGATCTGGGCAATTTGGCCCGAGATTACAAGAGCACTGCTGGACTTATTTTCATTGTAACGCGCCAGGCCTTTTGAACAGGGGGGCGGCCGGGTTCAGATTGCCATGTAAATTGATACGGTATTTGTGAATCTCTTTCACGGGCTGTCGCACAGTGAGCAGCTGGTGTGCCTGCCGCTTGAGGACAAGCTCCCCCCCCCCCACCACCACCACCACTACTAGTTTTCGCTCTGTACAGATTCCAATAAGCGCAGGGAAGCGGTAATGATATTAAGCGCCGCACCCAGGTGTAACCAGCACCACGCGAGCTCTCGTGCGAATTAAACTTCCCCCCCCTCCACTCCTCGCCGTCTGGTGCAGGGCTGGCACGTGCGCGTCGCCGGCAGCCGCCCTCGCACCGTAAAATGCAACAGGTGCCGTCGATTGTGTCGCCGTGAACCGGTTGTGGAACGCAAGAGGGCAGGGTAAAGTGTCGTTCGCGCAGAGCGAGCTGGGGGTCACGAAACGTGGCCGAAGCAGTGAAATAAAGCGGGAGCCGATGAAGAAGAGAGACATCGGAGATTAAAAGGTGACCGCGTGATAGGAGGCCATGCGAGGGATGGAAGCGGGGATATAGGGAGGCACGTGAAGAGCGAGTTGGAGTGCTTTCAGGAAAATAATGACTGCGCCTGATAATGAGAGCAACAAAACAATGTTGCATGAAATAAGCAAGGTTTCAATGCCATGTTTTTATGACGTGGAGCAGAAACTTAGCATGCTGACCGGCAGAATGGAACAAAAATATGAAAAGGGTGCAAAGAAGCGCGGAGAGTTGCGTGCCTGGAATGATAATGAGAGACAGGAATAAGAACACATGGATTCGAGAACATGTGCAAATTAAAGAGCTTATGGACTGTTGAGAAAAGTGGGCTTGCTATCCAGAGGTTGCCGGTTCGATCCCCCGGCACGGCAATTGAAACAACGGCAAATGTATTAACCCCCCCCCCCCGCCTATCCCGCCTCTATTCACTCGGTAATATAGATGGGTACACCACAGTTAGTCTGTGGTGGGGTAAAGTGTGGGTACTTCCACCTCTTCCCCGACTTCCGGCCTGCGTGGAAGAGACGGCCACATTACCCTCTGGAGACGCCTCCAGTGGAGGCCCTCCCACCAGCAGTGACGTGAGCACAGCAATTGCAGGCCTGCGCATTTATTTATACCGTACAACAATCGCATTGCACTAAAACAAATTTAAAGCGCGAATCCGAATCTTGCTGTCTTTTTTCTCATGAAAATTTCATCACCCGTAAATCCTAAAAAAATAAAATAAAATCCTCTGAAGCGCCAGAGTGTTCTTGGCAAAAAAATAAATTAATAAAAATGTAATGCAGCCACATATTTAATCGTAAACATAATTGCATTTAAATGTCAGCACAGGCAATAAACTGATCCCGTAGCACTAATAACGCATTCCGTACATATTAAGCATAGGTTGCAGAATTTTTATTATCAGACTCGGAATAATATGTTGCTAATCCTTAAAGTGGCTTGTGTTTTTTTTATGCGCCGCCGTGCGTAGCAAAGTGGCACAATGGTGACCACTCGTGCCTCGCGGCCAGAAGGACCCAGGTTCTTTCCC